AGGCTCTACATGCTTAATTTCATGCTTCTAGGATCAATATTATAGAAAATTCAAAAAGTACCAGTCGAAAGACGAAAAAGTACCAAAAAGTCCCCTTTTATAGATTCTCATTTACTAAGGGCTCTACATGCTTAATTTCATGTTTCTAGGTTAAATTTTATAGAAAACTCAAAAAGTACCAGTCGAAGGACGAAAAAGTACCAAAAAGTCCCCTGTTATAGATTCTCATTAACTAAGGCCTCCGCATGCTTAGTTTCATGTTTCTAGGTAAAATTTTATAGAAAACTCAAAAAGTACCAGTCGAAGGACGAAAAAGTCCCCTATTATAGATTCCCATTTACTCTGGGCTCTACATGCTTAAATTCATGTTTCTAGGTTAAATTTTACAGAAAACTCAAAAAATACCAGTCGAAAGACCAAAAAGTCCCCTTTTATAGATTCTCATTTACTCCGGGCTCTACATGCTTAATTTCATGTTTCTAGGTTAAATTTTATAGAAAACTCAAAAAGTATCAGTCGAAAGATGAAAAAGTACCAAAAAGTCCCCTTTTATAGATTCTCATTTACTAAGGGCTCTACATGCTTAATTTCATGTTTCTAGGTTAAATTTTATATAAAACTCAAAAAGTACCAGTCGAAAGACGAAAAAGTACCAAATAGTCCCCTTTTATAGATTCTCATTTACTAAGGGCTCTACATGCTTAATTTTATGTTTCTAGGTTAAATTTTATAGAAAACTCAAAAAGTACCAGTCGAAGGACGAAAAAGTACCAAAAAGTCCCCTTTTATAGATTCTCATTTACTCCGGGCTCTACATGCTTAATTTAATGTTTCTAGGTTAAATTTTATAGAAAACTCAAAAAGAACCAGTCGAAGGACGAAAAAGTACCAAAAAGTCCCCTTTTATAGATTCTCATTTACTCCGGTCTCTACATGTTTAATTTCATGTTTCTAGGTTCAATATTATAGAAAATTCAAAAAGTACCTTTTGAAGAACGAAAAAGTACCAAAAAGTCCCATTTTATAGATTGTCATTTACTCCGAGCTCTACATGCTTAATTTCATGTTTCTAGGTTTAATTTTAAAGAAAACTCAAAAAAGTACCTGTGTAGAACGAAAAAGTTGCGAAAAGTCCCTTTATTATTAATTTCATGTTTCTATTTCAATATCATAGAAAACTCAAAAGGGACCAGTTGGAGAATGAAAAGTACCAAAAAATATCACTTGATACCGGGGTTCCAAATAACACCCCATTAGGATATTTAGTGTTTCTAAATTTAAAAATTTTATCTAAATTGGATCATTGTGGTTGAATAAAATCAAATTTCCCGTTTTTACCCCTTTTGGTACTTTTTTCCTCCCCATTAACGAAATAAAAATTCTATTCCAAAAAGTTGCAACATCGTAGTGGGAGCCCGTTATTATGTATTCATATGTATAAGTTAATAAACCAAAAACAATGTTTTATGAAAAAAGTACCAAAAATAGGTACATTTTTAACCCCTTAAACGTCCGAATATCCAAAAAGTACTAAATTCATATTTTTATTTTTTCGTTAAGTTATGAAGGAGTCAAAAATATTTTTTGAATATGCACTGGTTTAAAAGATACATGGGGTGCGAAAAAAGTACCAAAATACAGTTTTTACCCGTTTATTCCCTAAAGGGGCCGAATTTTAAAAAAGTACCAGACACCTGTCCGTTTATTTTTTAAATGAACGGCGATAAGCTTTAAACTGTTTTTGTATCTTTTCTAGTTTAGGAGATATAAGGTTACCGAATTTACCCGTTTTTACCCTTTTTTACCCCCTAAACATTCGAATTTCCAAAAATCCCGTCTTAGTGGATCTATTTGGCGGGAGACCAACCTCCTGTCCAAATTTCAGCTCTTTAGCTTCAACCGTTTAGGCTGTGCGATGATGAATCAGTCAGTCAGTCAGTCAGTCAGTCAGTCAGTAACGTTAGAATTTTATATATATAGATTTTATCACACAGACAAATAAATTATTTTTAACACTATCTTACCAAAGGTAATTTTAAAAGAAAATTTATCTCATTTTAAAATCATTTGCTAGTTTGAATTAATTAAAACTATTACAACGCCAAAGAATTTATTATAATTACTTGAACTCTGGTCACTCTTGCATAAAGAAGTTTTAACTAAATCATGATGATATTTATTTATGCATATATACATAAGTATTAAAACCAAAAAAATATATTCATAAGCAAAAATATGCAGAAAAATTTTACTACACAATTTAAAAAAAAAATGAAACTTGACCAGTAGCCTGTTAAATAAGAAATATATTCTATAAATAAGAAAATAAATTAATAAATTAGTTTAAACTATAAAAGACAAATCAACTATGTGCCACAACATACATATTAGAATAATAGCAATTATTCCAAGTTATACCGAGAAATATATCAATAAATTACTTATAAAACAGATTGGCATCAATACAATATTCAATTTCTTGAGTAGGAAACTATAAAATAATATTATATTCTCGTACCAAACACAAATCAAACTAAAAAAAAAAAAAAAAAACAAAAATATAAAGAAATTCAAGCAACACAAAGTAACTAGTCGGCCGGCCGGCCGGTAGGCCAGTCAAACAAGAACCTATTACGGCCATTACAATTTCGTAAATTTATATATATTATATAAATATACAAACACTCAGTTATTCACATTAGTTTAATAATATGCCAAATAATCATTTATTCATAATCAATCCATCCATCCATCTATCATCCATCTATGCATAGATTCACACTTACTTATTGCACATTACATACTATCACTATCACCGCAGCCGGTCTACAATCCCAAGTATTCATATATTCATTTTCAAAAATTTATCATAAATTAAATATTGAAACCAAGGATGATGATGCACTTAGCGAATACACGCAGAAAAAGTGTTGATTTCTGAATTCGTTTAAGATTATTTTAAAATGTAGATTAATATGCTGATTAATTATTCTGAAAACAAATATTACAACAAGTAAGAGTGTTATATTCGGCCATGCCGAATCTTATATACCCACCATCAAATCATCCTTATAAATAAACTTTGATATTAACTATCTATGTTGAATCATGTGTCGATATTAATATGAACATCAGGGAAATATTTGGAAGAGGGCCTTTAATAAGGGCTTAAGCATGGACCGTGCTCTTTCGAATTAAAAATATTAATTTTGTTGTATCCAATATTTATAACCATATACTGTTTTTTTGTAAGAGTGGTTATATGGAGGGTAGAGTCAATCATGGACCTATCCTTGTAGGTTTATACAATAATTATTTGTATCTAATGTCATTGTACTTGTATATTTAATTCAGTTATGAGGGTGTTTGATTAGTTATGGACCGAACCTCATCAAATTCAGTTGAAAAATTCCAGTTTGTTTATGTAGAATTTTATTGCCGTAATCGCATTTTTTGGTCAGAAATGAGCGTTAAAGGCATTTTCTGAAGGGGACCTTATAGGGCGGTAGGGTTAATTACAGACTGATTCTCATAAAATTTAGTGGGAGATTTTAGCTAATACGAAAATTGTTTATGACGAATTTCATCGCTGTACTCGAATTTTTAAGCTAGTAATGAGCTTTAAAGTCATTTTCCGAAGGGGACCTTACAAGGGGGATAACCCTATCCCCCTTATAAAATTTGATAAAGAACTTTTGGCTCGCATAAAACTTGTTTATGTAGAATTTTACTGCTGTACTCACATTTTTGAGTCAGTAATAAGCCTTGAAGTCATTTTCTGAAGGGGACCTTATATGGGGGGTAGGGTCAATTATGGACCCATCGTCATAAAATTTAAGAAAATGATTTTAGTTCTTATAAAACTTTTTTATATCGAATTTTATTGTTATATATATATGCTTCTTAAGGTCAGATATGAGCATTAAAGTCATTTTCTTAAGGGGAGCTTATATGGGGGGTAGGGTCAATTATGGACCGATCTTATAAAATTCTATGAAGAGATTTATGTTCCCATAAAACATGTTTTGTGCCAAATGTTACCGCTATTGATGCTTCTCTTAGCCAATTATGAGCGATAAAGACATTTTCTGAAGGGGACTTTATATGGGGGTAGGGTCAATTATGGGCCTATCCTTATAAAATTTTACAAAGAGATTAAGGTTCCAATAGAACATGTTTGTGCCGAATTTCACCGCTATTGATGCTTCTCTTAGCCAGTTATGGGCGATAAAGTCATTTTCTGAAGGGGACTTTATATGGGGGGTAGGGTCAATTATGGGCGTATCCTTATAAAATTTTACAAAGAGATTTAGGTTCACATAAAACATGTTTGTGCCGAATTTCATTGTTATTGATGCATTTCTTAGCCAGTTATGGCCGATAAAGTCATTTTCTGAAGGGGATTTTATATGGAGGGTAGGGTCAATTATGGACCGATCCTTATAAAATTCAACAAAGAGATTTATGTTCCCATAAAACATGTTTGTGCCGAATTTCATCGCTATTGATGCATATCTTAGCAAGTTATGAGCGATAAAGTCATTTTCTGAAGGGGGCCTAATATGGGGGCTAGGCGAAATCGTGGACCGATATTGCCCATTTTCAATACCAAACAAACTGCATCAACTAGAAGTATCAGTGCAAAATTTCAGCTCTCTAGCTATTTCTATTTAGACTCTATCGTGTTTTCAACAGACAGACAGACAGACGGACAGACGGACGGACATGGCTAGATCGTCTTAGAATCTGATAAGGGTCCAGAATATATATACTTCTATGGGTCTTAGATGAATATTTCAATGTGTTACAAACGGAATGACAAAAACAATATACCCCCCATCTTTTTTGATGGTGGGTATAAAAATTTACAAATTACTAGATAAGTAGATCCAACAACTTGTCAAATTGCTTGTCTTTGGTAATTAATTTTGATATTATATTCTTTCAGGTAATATTCTAACCATCAATATTAACTTACAATCTGTTTTTTGTTCTTTCAGATTTTGCAGAAGTGTTTAAAAAGCTTCAGTTCAAAGTCCTAAATGCCTGTTGCTTTCCATTGTTTAAAAAATGTGTTCAATTTTTCGCAATCGCATTAATTACCGTGGAACACCTAGTAGCAACTCTCCGGGTAGTCCACCAATATTAACCAAAGATTTAGAAGCCGACAGTAATAATAACGATAATGATAACAATAACATAATGTCTAGAAAAACTGAAAGTCCCCAAGAAACCAGGGAAAGCAATAGCAAATCACCAGCAGTAGATCATTCAAATAATGATGGTGTTGAAGATCATACAGATGATATCGAGGAGAGTGAAAGAATCGATCCTAAAGAGGATGATGAAACGGATAGGGATGTAACGATAGAAAAACAACATAAAGATGAAGCTCTGGATTTGTCTGTGTTACCTAATGGTTTACCCATCAAGGGTCATGTTTCCCTGGAAGCTTTGCAGCACACCAAAGTAGCGGTAGCTCAATTTGCCGCTTCAGCTTTAGCCCAGACGCCCTATTTTGGTGAGGGATCCAATGATTTGACAACCATATTAAATGTACAACGTCAGCATTTAATGCAGTTGCAATTTATACAGCATTTACAAAGTCAATTGAAAAGAAGAGATCAGGTGAGAGAATGTACAGAAGATGATGAGGGTCACGAAGATGATGAAGAACAGGAGAGGGAAGATATTGTGGAAGACATGGAGGAAGAGGCGGATGAAGAAGGCTTGAATGAGGAATATCTACAGCAGGAAGAACTAGATTTAAGTCAAAGTAAAACAGGACTAAGAGAAAATATCGAGGATGAAAAGAAAAATGGTTTAGAGTCTAATAAATTTTTAAGAACAGAGAAACTAAAGACTGATGATAATGTTTTAAGTAAAAGTCCCAAAGAATCAGTGGATAAAGTGCAATCGCCAAATTATCAGCCCTTATTAAGTGGCATCAGTTCTTCGTTAGCTTCTACCATAATAACCAATCATGATCCCATACCCCCGCCTCACGAGCCCAATTGTTTAGAAATGTTGCAGAGACGTACCGAAGAAGTATTGGATTCGGCTTCTCAAAGTCTACATGCCTCCCAAATGCAGGAGGAATATGAGTACATACAGAAAGATGGCCAGGGACGGGGAGAGATATTTAAGCATCGTTGTAAATATTGTGGGAAAATATTTGGTTCATTTTCAGCCCTGCAAATACATTTGAGATCACATACAGGTGAAAGACCTTTTGTGTGCAATGTATGTGGTAGTAAATTTACTACCAAAGGTAACCTAAAGGTTCATTATCAAAGACATACCCAAATATACCCGCCCATTTTAATGCCTCCAGGTGTAGGGCCACCTTTAGAGATGCCACCACATATGAGAGAGCCTTTGGGGCCACAAGCTCAGCATCAGCATGCTCATCATCAACCAACACCTCTGCCACCTCCTCCTTCCTCAGCTTCAGCTATGAGTAGTTTGAATAACATGCCCTTGCGTTTGCCCTTTAATGAAAAGCCTTTAACGAAAGAAACAGAAGATGAGAATGAAATTCCTATCAATACCAAAGAATGTGAAATTAGTATAGAGGACCCTGAAAAAGAGATAATTGCAGAGGTCCCAAAACCTATAGAAGAACACCCCGAAGATTTGAGTAAGCCACAAACAAAAGACGAAGAACCAAAACCCAAACCGTTGGTTAGAGTAAAAACTCCACAAGCTTTAATGGAACCAGCAGTAGAATTGCCAAATGATAAGCCCGAAAGACCGGCCACATCAGTGACCCCCAAACGTTCTACTTCCCAAAGAAAACGTAGCTCTACAGCCGGCACCCCACCGCAGGAGCTGAGAAAGATTTGCATGGATAATGATATACCAGAACATCATTTATCTAAACTTTATAGAAGATCATCGCTAAGTCGTAATAGCAGCATGGAACATTTGTCGGGAGACTTTTGTCAAGTAGAGCAGTTCGTTGACAAATCATGGGAAGATCTGATAGAAATTGATACCACATCAGAGACTTCGAAACTGCAGCAATTGGTTGATAATATCGAAAATAAGTTAACAGATCCTAATCAATGTATATTTTGTCAAAAAGTCATGTCTTGTCGTAGCTCACTACAAATGCATATAAGAACACATACTGGTGAGAGACCGTTTAGATGTAAAATCTGTGGTCGGGCTTTTGCTACAAAGGGAAATTTGAAGGCTCATATGAGTATACATAAGATAAAGCCGCCCATGCGTTCTCAATTTAAATGCCCAGTATGTCATCAAAAGTTCTCCAATGGCATTATACTACAACAACACATACGCATACATACCATAGATGATGGCTCGGGTGGTTGTGGTTCCCAGTTGCCTGGACAATCTAGTGAAATGGCTGCTGCTATAGCTGAACACAACAATAGAATGCGTGCTCACATGGAGGCAGCCATATTGGAAGATCAAAATTCCAATAAATCGTTAGGAGCTTCAGAAAATTTTGACTTTTCAACCACTTCTGAATATTCGGGTCAAAGGTCAGAATCATCACAAGGAGATTTTGATGAATATATGACCATGGAGAGTACGGATGATTCGAGAGAGAACTCAACTTCTGTAACACCTTTGGAAAAAAGAATCTCCGAAGATGGTGAAGATAAAGTAGAACAAGATATGGAACGCTCAGAATCGGTGCGTTCAGAGGCAATAGATCTGACAGCACGCAATGGTTCGCAACAGACGCATAAAGCTTTAGATCACTTACCCCATTTAATGGGTATGCCTCATAATCTTTGGTTAATGGCGGCTGCCAGAGAGGAAATACAAAATTTAGGAAATCATGGTAAATTTCCATTGTTACCATTTGGACCTCTAGGATTTATGGGTGAGTAAAACAAAAATTTGTTGTCAAGAAAATTTATTAATTTTAAATTTACTTATGACTTTGGTTCATTACTGTATTTTATCATTCTTAAAAATGAAAACAAAAATTTAAGCAAAATATACAAAAGCATGTGTGAATAAACGAAATTTATTCCGGCATAAATTTCCATCACTGTCACAACATGTTATTTAAAGCGTAATTTCTTCACTTTAATCATGACATTGCCTGCCTCAATATACGAACATCCAAACAAATAAGTATATGTATGCTCCCATTCGAATAAGCACCGAAAGCATTTATAGTAACAGCAGAAGTCTGCTCTGGTTGTTTTTGTTGTTCGAAAATGACAAAGTTTTTCCGTCTGTCACCTTTGACCCAAAGTAGCAGTAGCAGCAACAAAATAAAGACGACAAACTTAAATAACAATGTACGACATAATTCAATTGGACCCAAACAACAAAGAATTTCTTCTATAGATATTTACGATTTCGAATCTTCAATTCAAATAAAATTTATTTATACCAACAAGAAAATCTTAAAATAAACGTCAATAACCAACAGTGAAGGGTATGTGTTTGGGGGCAGAAATATACACAGCGAAAATTGTACTGTTTTTGTTAGTGTTAAAAAAATAAATTGAAAATAAATTAAATAAAATATAGCTGTAAACCCATTACTGTTTGGTCGAGAGGAGAGTACCCATAATATTCCAAAATTATAGACCAAACAGAACAATTCTAGAACAAATCGTCATGAATCGATTACTAATTTCTAAAAATATTTAAATTTTTATGTATTACCAATTCCTTAATTGATTAAAAGTTGTAAATACTACTTCATCGTCTTTTCTAATTAACACCTCCCCTAAACAAATATCTCACACTATACACATGTATGTACATTTTCATTTTTAAAATGTTCTTATACACTCTATATGAGTTACGCGATTTTTATTGTTATAAATATAAAACAAACTGAAAGATATCGTATCTTTTTAGCGCATACATAGATCATTGCTTTGACTTGATTTCTTTATACAATTTTTTATGTGTGAGTATTTATTCTCACTCTAGGCGTCATTATGTCACAGCATTTTATTCGACACAAAATTTATGTTCAATAACCCAACAGTATGAATTTTCCGAAAGACATTAAGTAATTAAAGCAATTGTTTTAACTTTTGCAATTTCTTTGATTAAATATTTTCCAAAGGTTTACCACCTCAAGCCCATATCTGCCAATTGTGCTTTAAATTATTTCCGAGTCCCTCGGCATTGGAGACACATTTTCAAAATGATCATACCAAAGATGCTGCTACTGCTGATGTTGCAGCTGCAGTACCAACATCATCGTCATCCTCAATACCATTGGCAAGCAACACATCGACAACGACTACATCCGCTACGATTGCTAATGATGGCAGTGCTACAGATTCCTCGACAATTGAGAATTTCGATAAAAATTGTGATACAATAGCAGAGACATCGGGTTCAATAGCCTTCAATAATAAGGTAAGTGTAAAAAATTAAATTTGTATTATTTCAGATTGTCATGAAGATTCGGATTAGAATGTAAGGTATTAAAAATATATATCTTATTTAGGAGCTGAAAGAGCTGAAAGTCAGGGTCTTCGGAGTATGGTGTTACATTTTGTCTCTATTGCAGCTTCCTTAGTCCTCTTGAATTCCTAATTGCTTAAGCTGACTAAGCTGGTATTTATTTGATCCTACCTTTAGAAAGAAGTTATAGGAATTCTGAACCAATATTGGTACAGAGATCTTGCAAAAACATCATTATTTAAAAGTATTTAATTTCGAGGGACAATTTCTAGTCCTACATTGGATATAGTTTTCCAACTTCTATATATGAAAGGGTAATGTTTCCTATTTGCGAAATCCAATGCTCTTTAAACCCTTCATCTTCCAGAATTGGAAGGGATTTAAATTCAGGTCAGAGAAATGCTATTGCTTCCTCTTTAACACATCGAGTGGAGGAAATCACAGACTGTATTTTTGACACTTTGCTTATTAAGCATAATATTTATTTTAACGCATTGATCAGCACTCTCTGGTGTTCGTGAGACCTATTTAAATTAGAGTTCATAATCAGTCTATGAATTTGTAATCGATCCAGTGTTGTCATGTGCTATGGTTTCAGTCGTATTCCTACTCCTGTTCTGTTTCTAATAAGTCGCTGGTTGACATGACCTCTACACAATCAGTAATCAGTATTTCCTGAAGTATGAGTATCAGTTTTTCTAGCGCTTTTAGCTGGTTGACAAAAACTGTGGATCCCGCGAATTCAATGATCTAATATACCGAAGAATGTGATTATATTATAGCCGACTAAATTTTTATACCCTACACCACTTTAGTGGGGAGGGTATATTGGATTTGTGCTGATGTTTGTAACATACAAAAATATTCGTCCTAGACCCACCTTAAAGTATACCAATCGGCTTAGAATCGTTTTCTGAGTCGATTAAGCTATGTCCGTCCGTCTGGCAGGCTGGCTGGCTGGCTGTCCATGTAAACCTTGTGCGCAAGGTACAAGTCGCAATTTTCAAGATAATTGGATGAAATTTGGCACGCACGTTTTATTTGACCCAAGGACGAAGCCTATTGAAAATGGTTGAAATCGGTCCATTATTTCACCTAGCCCCCATAGAACAGAACCCCCCGAAAAGGGCTTTTGAGCTCATAATTTTGTTAAATTTACAGATATATCGATAAAATGCGGCACAACTAAGTTTGTCTGGATGACCCTGCCAAATTTCATAAAGATCGGGCCCCATTTGACCCTAGCTCCCATACAAAGTCCCCTTCAGAAAATTACTTGAATGTCCCAAATTAACTTATAAACACAAATATCGCGATGAAATTTAGCACAATAAAATATTATGTAAATATAAATATATTCACAAAATTTTATCGGGCTTGGTCCATATTTGCCCCTAGCCCCCATATAAAGCCTCTTTCAGAAAATTAGATTTTCATCCATAAATTGCTTAAATGTATCGGAACAAGGGAATATTGAAGATAAATGCTTTATTATGAAAAATAAATCACATTTAATATTCATAACTGGTGTAGGGTATCATATGGTCGGCCACGCCCGACTATACTTTCTTACTTGTTTTTATTCTTTCCATCCGAAACCCGCCCGGCTATGTAGTTACCCGAAGCCGATCTTCCTTTTTGGGCCTGTAAATACTTTCGTACCTAGTGTTCTATATTAAAGACGCAGAAACAGTTTAAGCAGAAGTTTGAGCAATAACGAAATGCATAATTTTGATTAGAATAGATATCAGGTGATAAAGTTAACTCTAAGACCGTATTAGTCGGGAGTAGTCGACAATAATGGCTCGTCAGGTAGATAACCTGACTTTTTGGAATAATGAAACGGGCAGAACCCCAAAGATCCTATGGGGCGACCCTAACGATAGCAGGACAAGAAGCCTCATCAGAATGAGCAAGTCTTAGGTAAATATGATTATGCGTATGTATTCTAACAGGACACACAAAATTACGGCCACAGCTATACAAAATTGGACTGATGGATGCAGACGAATGTAGAGTATGCAGAGCGGACAGTGAAACTCTGTATCGCTTTCTTTTTTAAAAATTAGATCCAAATATCTTGGAAGTGACATTATTCCGAATACTGATTGGAAAATTTTTAGGAATTACTCACAGGAAACTGAGTTTCTAAACATCGGTTGATAATATATATAATGTAATAGTAATAAGGTTGGCCGAGGTGTATTTCTTCGAATTTGACGTAGTATATATCCTCATATGAATCTAACCTAAGTAGTACATTCAAGTGTCTCGTAAATTCTTTCATACTAAAGAAATCAACGGAGTCTCCTTTCGAGTGTAAAATTTCTGCTTTTCGGCAGAATATATTTAAAAGAATGACCAAACAAGTCTAATCGATTCCCTACAAATAACTATCTAAATGTGCTTTTTTCGTTTATACCGCAAATAGCCGTTTAAATTCAACAATTGCAAATATTTAAACATAACCCAAAAACAAAATTCTTATACTTCCTCATATTCCGATTAAACCATTATTAAATTGTGTAATTTTTACCTCCCACTCATGCTACCACATCAAGTTGAAATGACTGAACGAATTCCTTTTAGAAATTCAAGATAAATTCCAGTTAAAAACCACAACACAGCTTTGCCATCTCAACTATGGTTAACTGAAATTCACAGTAATTAATAGATGTAGCGAGAAAATGAACACACACAGATAACAAAAAAGGCGAAAACAAAACAAAGCTAAAAAGACTTGTGCTTAATGATGCCACTTAATACAAATAATAATCCTACCAAATTTGGCAACTACTTACTACTTGTAAAAACTTATTTATGTATTTGTATGAATATGTGTTTAAAATGTACCCTGTTGATCTGGGTAACAGTTATCAAACTTTGAATCTACTCTCTACAGATTCGTAATTAGACATTAACATTTAAGTCGGCCAAAAGCTACTTTTCGTGACTGAAAAGCTAACGTTTAAACTTACTACATTCTAGATTACTTAGAGACTTGAAAGGTGACAATTGGTTATATGCTTGATTACTAGGGAAGTAAATTAATTGCAAAATCAGAGCCAGAAAAGTTAATAAAAAATCCGGATCCATTAGCACTTTTAAAGCTTCCGGGAATTTCCCCATATGTCATAAGCAGTATATGAATGTATGTATGTGATGTAACAACAAATGTAATTAATAATCTCATCATAATTTGTTATTGTAAGAGCCATATTTGTACGTTCGACGTAAATAAAAATATTCGTATGTACGATTACGCTTAACTCAATGCCACATATTTCGTGGTTACGTCTTTATATTACAAGAAGATTTTTCTTTTTTAACTTTAACTTGTGGAGTAAGAAATCTATATATGGTCTTAAAGACAGTATGGCATTAACTTAACTCTCACATTTACTAAGTATTTTTGAAATGATGACGATGATGGCTAATGAGTAACAATATTTTTTAACTTAAAATAGTATAAATTTGTTATGTGTATGTATTTGAGTCGTTATGGGTATGTGAGAAATAGTAATAAATAAAAGAAGTAATATAATAATAGCAATAACTAATAACATATTAATTAATCCATGACATTTATCATTAAAATGCTATAAGAATATGCCATTTTAAGCATACATAATAGGAATATGTTTTCAGTGTGCTATTGCAATTATTTGAACATGATGCCGAGAATATAAAATATGTTGTGAAAAAATAGCAGCAGATTATAGAGATAGAATTATACTTTGGCGATCGTTCATCGTTATAAGAAAATTATATATCACTATTATAAATATGGCCTACAAAATCTAGAAATTTTTACTTTATTGGATAAAATAGCATTCATGAATCCGGATTATCTACTGAGTGCTGATTAAAAAAACGAAAAGCCAATTCCTTCTCAGAGTGGTAGGTTATGTTAGGTTGAAAGGAAGACGATACTACATCAAATTCGAAGAAATACACCTAGTCCACTATTGGGTATTTTGTGAGCTACTTTTCACGGAAAATGTTTGTTGGTAAAACCAACAAAATCCTTATATAGGGATCAATAAAGGTATTATAGTCCGATGTTCAGAAACTCGGTTACTTGGACATAGTAATTAAGAATTATATTTGGTGTTCGCTAGTAATGGTATATACGGAATGTGAATGATATACTCCCAAGATATTTGGATCTAATTTCGACAAAGAAATTGCTTCAGAGTTTCGCTTTCCTCTCCACATGCTTTACACTAGTATCCACTCAAAATACGTACCAAAGTACAAAACCTCCGACTTGCTCATATTGACGAGGGTCTCGTTAGGGAAATATCCCCATATCCTGCTATGATGTAAACTTTCCTCTGGAGGATTAGACAGTAGTACATGTCTGTTTCAAGGTCTTTAATATAGAACCCAAGGTCCGTTTAGTGCCAAGGGTAGAGTTAACCATGTAGCAACGGATTCCTACTGGTATTTGCTCTAATGTTACACTTGACCATTCTTCTCCTATAAAGCGGCCAGTTCCGATGTACCTAGTTGTTCCTATACTTTATGTGGTATCTCCATTTAAGGTTTACACCTAAATGCATAACTTTGTCGGGAAACACAAATAAAAGAACCGAATGCTAACTCTTCGTTGGATTAATATTCAGACCTCTCGGTTGAATCCAGCTTAAGGCCGTATTCTGAGCCTCTTCAGCCCTTCTACACAAGTTATTTGCATTCTTCCTCTTAGAAGTATTACGACGTCGTCTGTATAGCAGACAGGTCTAAGTCCTTTCTCGGTCATGGTCCTTAGAAGGCTATTAATCGTCATTACCCAAAGTAAAGGGGACAAAACTCTACTTTACGGTGTGCCACGGAATACTGATAGTTGCAGATAGAATCCGGTCAACATAAACCCATATAAGAGTACCAGAAAACTTTTTAAATTTCTGGATAACTGAGAGCTTTTGGGAAAAAATATTTACATATAGACTACTCAAGTCTATGATTTCTAAAACAGACCTGATATATAGTTTAGACCTGGAGTACATAGGGAACATTGGAAACATTATTAGTGACTTTATAAAATATTGCATATAAGCGATCAAACTCACCTGTTTTTCATTATATTTTCTTAGCACTACATAATTTCAAACAAAATCAAGCCCTTCCCATATAAAAACACTTTTCTGGGTGTTTTAATTAATTAATGCAAATTTGTTTGCTGACTATTATGAATATTTGTCATATTATCGTCTACAATGTTTCTCTTCCAATATTCGACAACAATCCATGCAACATCGTCATCATTATGATCCCCATCAACGTCATCATCTTGATTCTACAGTATGAATTGTGTCTGCATGTCTTCAAGATGTGTCTACACATATTGTCATCTTTGACTAATGACAATGTTTATTTTATGATCTCTACTACAACACACTTGGAGTTATTCCAAAGATTTTTTACAATTTTATTTGGCGTCTAGCATTTAAGAAAAAAGACCTGTTAATAATCTATCTGTATTATCTCTTGCATATTCGTACAACTAGAAATATTCAAATCATACAATTAGTATGAAATACTAAAGTAGCGAGAAAAAAAATGTTTGTTGTTGTTTTATATTTCCACTAGTTACTGGTCATTAAATTGGAATTATGTTGGCTGTAAATTTACACAAAATTTAGCATATTATTAAAAATGTAAGTGTATATGCCACATGCACATAAATTATGTTATGCTTTATGAAGAAAAAAAAAGAAGCGAACTGAATTATAACAATTTTAATAGGAATATGTATGAAATAGTGTTTTTTTTCTATGGAAATAATACAGGGTGAAAATTTGTAAATGGATGTGATAAGAAATTCAATACAAATAAAAACCGTCACAATGTCCACGAGCATAGCGACATAAAGTATTCTAATTCATTTCTGTTTTAAAATTGTCACAGACTAGACTATAGACTAGAATATAGACTAGACTATAGACTAGACTATAGACTAGACTATAGACTAGACTATAGACTAGACTAGACTATAGACTATAGACTATAGACTAGACTAGACTATAGACTAGACTAGACTATAGACTAGACTAGACTAGACTATAGACTAGACTATAGACTAGACTATAGACTAGACTATAGACTAGACTATAGACTAGACTATAGACTAGACTATAGACTAGACTATAGACTAGACTATAGACTAGACTATAGACTAGACTATAGACTAGACTATAGACTAGACTATAGACTAGACTATAGACTAGACTATAGACTAGACTATAGACTAGACTATAGACTAGACTATAGACTAGACTATAGACTAGACTATAGACTAGACTATAGACTAGACTATAGACTAGACTATAGACTAGACTATAGACTAGACTATAGACTAGACTATAGACTAGACTATAGACTAGACTATAGACTAGACTATAGACTAGACTATAGACTAGACTATAGACTAGACTATAGACTAGACTATAGACTAGACTATAGACTAGACTATAGACTAGACTATAGACTAGACTATAGACTAGACTATAGACTAGACTATAGACTAGACTATAGACTAGACTATAGACTATAGACTAGACTATAGACTAGACTATAGACTAGACTATAGACTAGACTATAGACTAGACTAGACTATAGACTAGACTATAGACTAGACTATAGACTAGACTATAGACTAGACTATAGACTAGACTAAAGTATTCTAATTCATTTCTGTTTTAAAATTGTCACAGACTAGACTATAGACTAGAATATAGACTAGACTATAGACTAGACTAGACTATAGACTAGACTAGACTAGACTATAGACTAGACTAGACTATAGACTAGACTAGACTATAGACTAGACTAGACTAGACTATAGACTAGACTATAGACTAGACTATAGACTAGACTATAGACTAGACTATAGACTAGACTATAGACTAGACTATAGACTAGACTATAGACTAGACTATAGACTAGACTATAGACTAGACTAGACTAGACTATAGACTAGACTATAGACTAGACTATAGACTAGACTATAGACTAGACTATAGACTAGACTATAGACTAGACTATAGACTAGACTATAGACTAGACTATAGACTAGACTATAGACTAGACTATAGACTAGACTATAGACTAGACTATAGACTAGACTATAGACTAGATTATAGACTAGACTATAGACTAGACTATAGACTAGACTATAGACTAGACTATAGACTAGACTATAGACTAGACTATAGACTAGACTATAGACTAGATTATAGGCTAGACTATAGACTAGAATATAGACTAGACTATAGACTAGACTATAGACTAGACTATAGACTAGACTATAGACTAGACTATAGACTGGACTATAGACTAGACTATAGACTAGACTATAGACTAGACTATAGACTGGACTATAGACTAGACTATAGACTAGACTATAGACTAGACTATAGACTAGACTATAGACTAGACTATAGACTAGACTAGACTATAGACTAGACTAGACTATAGACTAGACGATAGACTAGACTAGACTATGGACTAGACTATAGAGTAGACTATAGACTAGACTATAGACTAGACTATAGACTGGACTAGACTAGACTATAGACTAGACTCTAGACTAGACTCTAGACTAGACTAGGCTATAGACTAGACAATAGACTAGACAATATACTAGACAATAAACTAGACCATAGACTAGACTATAGACTAGACTATAGACTAGACTATAGACTATACTATAGACTAGACAATAGACTAGACTATAGACTAGACTATAGACTAGACAATAGACTAGACTATAGATTAGACTATAGACTAGACCATAGACTAGACTATAGACTAGACCATAGACTAGACTATAGACTAGACAATAGACTAGACAATAGACTAGACAATAGACTAGACCATAGACTAGACTATAGACTAGACTATAGTCTAGACTATGGACTAGGCTATAGACTAGACTATAGACTAGACTATAGACTAGACTATAGATCTCGTTTAAATACCCTGTATGTATTATTATGCCGTACATTAAAACTAATTGTTACCACAATTTATAATACACAAAAATTATTTTAGCCCTAACAATAACACTGACTACAATAATAATTATTATAATGATGATGAAAAGCAAAAAAAAATGAAAAACGAGATTAAATATTAATATAGAAAATACGAAACAAAAAGTTGACAACTCAAAAAATGCATTTAGATGATACTACAAAATGCAAATATTTGTCACGCTAATGAGTCCTTACATTACACTAAATTACGAGACTACAATAGCAGCAATGGGTTGGTTGGTTGGCCCATCATTAAGGGGTAAAGTATATATAAGAAAATAAAGACAGAGATGGTGTAATAAACGGACAGACTACAGAGCGACAGATGAATTATAAACTTGTCATTCATAGTTGTTGTTTTGTTCTATTCAAAATTTCCACTGACATCAAAATTAAATTATGTTTTTATATTCCGCAGTTAGATATTGTGTTTGTGGTGTTGCTAGCAAATGAAAATAAAATTATTAAAAGTTCGTCTAGCAAATCTAAATATTAACGCCACATTTAATTGGAAATGTTAGACCAAAAAAATTTTATAATGAAAAAATTGTCTTGTAAACTTGAACAGATGTAAATGAGAATAGTTTTATATAAATTCTAGAGAATTGAGTATTATTTGCGGTTTGTCTCTATTTTACAGCTTTCTTTGAATCCAAATTTATTCCATAAATTTCAAACACCCTCCGAGGAAGATCAGAATTCCCGCAAAACTCCGTTTGAGCGCAGAAGCAGCAATAGCAATGAAGATTGTCGTGAACAGCAAAGTAAATTGCAAGATTTGGAACCGCTTAAGAATCACATCAAATCTGAACCTTTTATGGATGGCGAAGAACCAGCTGCTAAATCTCCCCAAATGATAGACGACATGGACGATGAGGATGATGTATTTCGAAATTCCTCAACACCCCCATCGGTTTATGCATCCCATTCGTCTCTGCTAAGTCATCCTCAAGCGGATAATTCGGAACATTCTCTGATGAAAATGCAAATGCGTAAGTTTCTTTTTAGACTTTAGGATGTTTGTTTTTTCTATATTTTTCTTCCAAAATACGATTTTTGAAAACATTATAGTAACAACAATTCCTCATCAATTTTCGACCTCCCATCCCGCGATGCCTCCCCACATAGAAGCTCATCGTTTTCCAGCCACCCCACTCGATTTTCAACAGGCCCTGATGTCTGTGGGACCTCCAACATCTAGCCTAGATCCTCCTGTCAATAATAAACATTTCTGTCATATATGTCGGCGTAACTTTAGTTCTAGTTCGGCGCTGCAGATACATATGCGCACTCATACGGGTGATAAACCGTTTCAGTGTAATGTGTGTCAGAAAGCTTTTACTACCAAAGGAAATTTAAAGGTAACTAGGAAAGCTTTTTACTTAACTAAGTTAAAGAAAAATGTTTTGTTGGGGGAAATTAAACATCTCAACTAAATGTATGTTCCAGCAACAAAATAATTATATAAATTTGCAACAATTTTCTTTATTGTATATTTGAGGAAATCGTGTTTGTGTAATTTACTTTTTAGGTTCATATGGGCACTCATATGTGGTCGAATCCCACCTCCCGTAGGGGCCGACGAATGTCTTTGGAATTGCCCATCCATAGACCGGGCGGAAGTTTGGCTTCTGAATCCGATTTTTTACCCAGACGGCCGGATATATTTTTTCCATATCTACCGCCATTCTTCAATGGCTTGCCACCAAAGGTAAGATTCTAGAAAAACTTTCTGTTTGCAATTAAAAAATTATTAAAATTAATAAAATTATTAATAGATTTCAATAGGCAGTATAATTAGCCGTAGAATAATAAATAGAATAGATATAATAAAATGATTCCATTAGACAGAAGGGATTTAGCACCTTGATTAGTACTTTAAAAAACTATATTTTATTGATTTATAGGGAGAGTGTATTCTAAGCTAGAGAGGGTTTAAAATAACTTGATATTTGTTACGCTTTAATAGTTTAAAATTATGATTCAATAACGCTATTTAATACCCCTTTCACAGCCTGGAGATTTAAATTCGACGCCACCCTTTCCACCCCACATTACGCCTCAACATTTAGCCAATGGCTCTGCCGGACCTCCCAAATACCCACCAGGTTTACCCATGGGATTTCCACCATTTCTCCAACCTCCCTACAGCTTTAATCCAATGCTAAATCAATCATCAACATCCTCTTCATCATTAGAACGACAAACGAATGCAAAAACTCCTCTCAGTACAGAACGAGAGGAAGAAGAACCAAAGAATACAACACATTCATCGCCTAAACAACACCATCAACACAGCACACACATGACAGCTGACAAAGAAGATTCCCCACCGATTTCATCGGCCTGGAATCCCATGATAAAAATTAAAACTGAAAACAATCAAAATGATATTAATCATCTTGTAGATCATAATGCAGAGTGTAGTAATCAAGATTAGTTTAGAAACGACTAAATAAAAACAACAATTAATTTAATAATAATTATATATAAGTACTTATATAAGTACTTAGATAAGTAGTAACGAATCAAATTGCAAAACGATATTTGTGTAAGAAGACAGGCAGATTATATAGTAACAGTAAAGGTAAATGAAATATTATATAAATAATATAAAAAAATATGATTGAAAATCATGGTTTTTAAGGAGTACATATCTTAAAGCATAAATTAAAAAAAAAAATCTTATTATACGTTAGGCTTAAAATATTGTCTAAATAAAAAAATATTTATTTCGAAACAAAAAATAAAATTGAAAAAAAGTGTCTGCATTCTTAAGGCATTTAAAAATGCATTATTTTATTTATTTTCTGAAAAGAATTTAATTTTTAATTCTTTATTTAAAATTTTGTAGCTTTTAAGCTGTAAAAAGTTCAAGTAGTTTGTAAAAGATCCTTTAATAGTATCCCTATGATTTCTAAAATTAAAAGATATGATAAACAGTTGTAGTTATACTTATTATATAATTAATATAAATATTATATGGCTCTAAATTATTATAATTTAAATGAAGAAATATGAATATTATGAATGGATACGATGATATAAATAGTGAACTGTGGTAGTTGCATATAAAATTAAAATTAAAAAGAAAAATACTAAAAATAAAGAAATATAATTATTTGAAATAAAATGTGTACATAGGTTTTGTTAATCTAAAGAAAGTTTCTTAAGAAGGTAAGTAAATCTTTTAAAACCTTGTGATCTGTACATATACCACTCGCATTCCACTAAGCGACTTAAAAGCTCTTAAAGAAAAGGTTCTAAGCTTTCGTTCAAGCAAAAAGTAAAAAAAATAAAAATAGCCCAATTTGAAAAAAAAAAAATTAACAAGTTAGAGTGCTATATTCGGCTATGCCGAATCTTAAATACCCTCCACCAGCAAGCTACTTTTTATTGAAACCCATTTAACTATATAATTTTTAGATAACTTGGCAAAATTTTTGTTTCCTTATTGAGAGTACTAACATTTATGCGTATGTCAAATTAATTTTAATTAGGTCGAGAAAAATGTATATTAATAGGACAGTTTGATAACATTTTAATATAATGATTTATCTGTACACAGAACATACTCATTTTGAATTTTATCCGGATGTAAACATTTAATTACGAATTAAGTGGTATTAAGTGGTTTTCAGAAGTATACCTTATATGTGAGCTAAGACAACCTATGGACCGATCCGGAAGAAAAAATCCGTAGAATGATTTATATATACAAAATACACATTTATGTCGAATTTTATCCCGATAATTTTGATTGTTAATGTGCATTTGAGTCACAACTCCCATATAAGGAAATGGTCCTTATATGGGAGTTGTGACCAATTATCAACCGATAATGAAAAAATTTCGTATAATGATTTATATGCCAAAAAAAAAAAAAAAAAATTCAAGTCGAATTTTACTACAATAGTTTTATTAATTAATGAAATATGTGCGTTTAGGTGATTTTCGGAAGTGGACTTTATATGTATAGGAGCTATGACCTTACACAAAACATATTTGTGTAGAATTTTATCAAGATATCTTTATTTGATAATGAAATATGTGCGTTTAAGTTATTTTTTTGAAGGAAATATTACCATATATGGAACAATCCGGAAAAAATTTGGTAGATTGATTTATATGCTCACAAAGCATATTCAAGTCGTACTTTATCCAGATAGCTTTATTATAATATGTGCGTTTAAGTGATTTTCGTAAGTGGGAGCCTATCCGGAAAAAATTTCGTAGAGTGATTCATATAAAGACAAAACATATTTGTGTCGAATTTTATCAAGATAACTTTATTTGACAATTAAATATGTGCGTTTAAGTAATTTTCGGAAGTGGGACTTATATGGGAGCTATGACCAATAATGAACCGATCCGGGGAAAAAGTGGTAGAATGATTTATATGTACACAAAACATATTCAAGTCGAATTTTATCCTTATAGCTTTAGAATTTAATGAAATATATTTGTTTAAGTGATTTTTGGAAGTGGACCTCATATGGGAGCTATGACCAATTATGAGCCTATCCGGAAAAAATTTCGTAGAGTGACTCATATAAAGACAAAACATATTTGTGTCGAATTTTATCCCGATAGCTTTATAATTCAATGAAATATATGCGTTTAAGTGATTTTCGGAAGAGGACTTTATATGGGAGCTATGACCAATTATGGGCCTATCTGGAAAAAATTTAGTAGAATAATTTACATTTATACGAAATATATTTATGTCGAATTTTATCACGATAGCTTTATTTGACAATGAAATATGTATTTTTAAGTGATTTTCGGAAGTGGGGTTATATGGGAGCTATGACCAATAATGGACCGATCCGTAAAAAAAATTGCAAAATGATTTGTATGTATACAAAACATATTTGTGTTGAATTTTATCCCGATAGCTTTATATTTCAAAGAAATATATGCGTTTAAGTGATTTTCGGAAGGGGACTTTATATGGGAGCTATGACCAAATATGGACCTATCCGGAAAAAATTTCGTAGATTGATTTATATTTAGACTATACATATTTGTGTCGAATTTCATCAAGATAGCTTTATATGACAATGAAATATGAGCTTTTAAATGATTTTCGGAAGTGGGCCTTATATGGGAGCTATGACCAATAATGGACCGATCCGTAAAAAATTTGGAAGAATGATTTGTATGTATACAAAACATATTTAACTCGAATTTTATCACAATAGCTTTATTCATCATTGAAATATGTCCGTTTAGGTGATTTTCGGAAGTGGACCTTGTATGGGAGCTATGACCAATTGTGGACCGACTGAGGACCTACGTTAACAGTATGATTTCTGTTCATATTATATTTGCATGTACAAAATTTTGTGTTGATACCGATATATTTGAGGGAGTTATTAACGATAAACTAATTTCCGGGAATATATACCTTTGTATGGGGGCTATGGGAAATATTGGATCGATTCTAAAGATTTTCAACATAATTGATCACTGCCATGAAAAAATAATGTGTGATAAAATTCATCGAAATATCTTTAGTAGTTTCTGAGAAAACTTCAAAAGAATTATGAAAAAAACGTAATTTTTTTCGAGGTAGTCTGAAATTTTTACTCATAACTTTTTACGTCGTGAACCGATTTTGCTGATTTTCAATACCAAACTGCTTAGGATAATAATAAATATTTTGGGTGAATTTGGTTGATTTCCTTTGCTTAGTTTTAACGTGAGCGTGTTTTACACAGACAGACAGACAGACAGACAGACAGACAGACGGACAGACGGACAGACGGACAGACGGACATAGCTAAATCGACTCAGAATTTCATAAGGACCCAGAATATATATACTTTGTTGGGTCTTAGATGAATATTTCTTGGTGTTACACACGGAACGACAAACTTATATATACCCTCTATCACCACTGATGGTGGTGGAGGGTATAAAAACATGTAAGAAATTATAGTCGGGCGAGGCCGACACCTGTTACAAAAATAAAATGTGATTTAGTTTTCATAAGAAATCATTTAAGTTGAATTGTATCTTGCCTCAGATATACTTAAGCCATTTATTGTTAAATAAAATTGTGGACATTTAAGTAAAATTTGAAGGAGCTTTTATAGGGGCTAGGGTCAAATGAGGCCCTATAATTATAAAATTCATTAGGGTCATTAAGGCTAGTATAGAACTTGGTTTTACAGCTATTTGTCGAGAAACGAGTATATAACATAATTATGAACTTAAAAGGCCTATTCGGCGGGTTCAGTTGTATGGGGGCTAGGTGAAATAATGGACCGATGTAATCCATTTTCAATAAGATTCATCTCCGGTATCATAGAAGATCATGTGCCAAATTTCATTGAGTTATCTCCAAAATTGCGACCTGTAGTTTGATTACAATGTTTACAAGCCCTATTCGGGGGTTCAGTTGTATGGGGGGTAGGTGAAATAATGGACCGATCTTAACCATTTTCAATAGACTTTGTCCCTGGGACAATAGAAGATCATGTACCAATTTCATTGAAGTATCTTCAAATTTGCGACCTGTAGTTTGAATACAAGGTTTGCATGGACGGACAGACGGATTCTAAGTCGATTGGTATACTTTAAGGTGGGTATAGGACCAATATTATTGTGCGTTACAAACATCACCACAAACCCAATATACCCTCCCCACTAAAGTGGTATAACAAGTAAGAAGTTATAGGGTCAAATGAGGCCCTATCATCAAAAAATTCATCAGGGTCATAAAGGCTAGTATATAACTTGGTTTTGCAGCTTTTTGTCGAGATACGAGTACATTAAACAAAATTATGAACCTCAAAGCCCTTTTCGGGGGCTTCAGTTGTATGGGGGCTAGGTCAAATATTGGACCGATATTACCCATTTATTTTCAAAATTGTGCCCTGTACTTTGATAACAAAGTTTACAAGCCCTTTTCGGGGGTTCAGTTGTACGGGGGCTAGGTGAAATAATGAACCAAATGTCAGTAAATCGACTGAGAAAATGATTTTGAGCCGATTGGTATACTTTAAGGTGGGTATAGGACCAATATTACTGTGCATTACAAACATAGGCACAAACCCGATATAGCTATCTAAACAATTTGGAACGGTTTTCGCTAAGAACAATAAGTAATAAAGTAACATAAATTAGAAAAAACACATGTTTGGAAAAAATGATAAATTTTGTCCCACTGTGACTCAGAAAGTTCCTAATCGATCTTGTTGAAAAGCTACTATCTAATAGGACTAACATTGGTGCATCCCGCTCGCAAGACATGTGTTTCAAAAGTTGAGTCAATTGACAAAAAATCCACCCTATACTATTTATGTTAATCGCTATATCCCTTAAAGTTTTTCTCCCTAATCTTATGGCGAATCAACTCAAACTAATTTCATCATATATGTTGTTCAAATCATGTAAAGCAGGATCATTGAAGGACGATTTTTTAATTTCGCCTCCGACGTATTTGACTTGGAACTAAAATATAATTAGATTAAGAGCAGGGACATTTCGTAGACGGTCCATCCAATATCCCCTAATCAAATTCTCGGATTTTCTTCGCAGTCACTACAGCCGGAAAGGTCGATTATAGTGTCCGACCGGTCGACTGAACGAGATCGAGTCACTTCTATAGAGAGTGTTTGCGCCCAGACCCTTCAATTATTTAACAAAAATAACAACATATTTTGAAGGTTTAGGTTAAGAAGTGTTATGCATCGTAAAAAGGTTCAACTCCAAACGGGGAACCTTTAGTCCTTTGTGATTACCTTCGTAGAGTGTGAAGGAAGATCCAAAGCAACAAATTTGTTAAATAAAAAGGAGAGAGGAATGAAAACAGGTTTATTCGCTAGGGTTTCAACCTAGAAGTTTTAACGAATCGATACCCTAAAGAAAAAGTCGTGAGAGTATCTGAGTCTCCCTATCAAATCTATTCGAGGAAATGACTAATTCCCCTGATAATTTTCAAGTGGCAAATTATATGCTCGATATTCCCTAATG